TAAAAATGCACATTTTACCGCTTTTCTTGACTCTAAATCCTAAGCTGCAAGCTAGTAATTAGTAATTTCAGTTGAATTTCTTCTTACCTTCGAACTTCAAACTTTCTTGTTTTTGTTTTTGCCATTACGATGTACGGTACATTAACTTTGGTAACAGACACATCGATATAGGTTGGGCTCCCTGTGACTAGAAGTTTGAATGCATTGCACTGCATGAGTTCGGGGAGTGGTGGAGTTCAATGATTGACCTCGTTTCAACACTAACTAGTCACAAGACATTTTAGAGTTTTCTTGACTTGTATTTTATATGAGGAATAGGAGACGTGATCCTCTGTAAATGAAACTTTCGATACACACAGCGACCATCAACCGTGCCCCAAACCATATGCATCCTAATAGACTATAAGATGGCTGTCGTGTTGGCTGCCGTACGAATGAAGATGTAATTACTTTGACTTGTACTCAGTCATGTAAAGAGAGCACCATCAAGTTAGAAGGTATGCTAATATTCTGAGGTTTTTTATGTCAGAGATATCTGTAGTTTAATTTCATTACTTCTAGTTATGATATTTGCTCTAATATTTCGTAATACTCATTTATTTGCATGATGTTCTGAACGTGGGGATATTATTAACGTTTGCATGCCATCAATCTTAATGAATGTATTAAGTGATCAAGTTAACTTTCTTTCATATTAATAATCGTTATTTGTCCTGGCATATACCTTAATAGGTTTCATTAAATTATTGCAACTGAAGGTTTTATCATAATTATTATTAAGCTTAGTATATAAATGTTTAGCGTTTTGTTCTGTGCAGACTGCATGGCATCTTAATTCGGTCATTCATAAAATTATATTCGTGATATTCAAAACATTCTGTTCCTTTGGTTTGTTGTGGGTAGGAATTCTATTTGTTTTAGCCAAACAATCCTGTTTAAGTAAACAAATTCTTACGATATGCATTATGRCAATAGTAATAATAAGATTATTATTTAATAATAAAAGATTATTAGCTAAATTTTAGCTATGAGTATGTATCATTGTTGTGGCTGAGATACTTCCAGCTATATGCCATCAAAGGATTATGGTTGGAAAAAGCACAGGTTCTTTGGTATATTTTCAACAATAAAGATATCATTGATGAATTTAAATATTTGTGATATATATATCTGGAAGATATATTTCAGAAAATATATACTGAAACTCTAATTATTCCATAAATATATATAATCACAAGAAAAAAATAAATCTAACAGCTGATTTTAACACTCCAAATGCTTGTGTTTACATTAACAAATTATTTGTAATATCTGGGATATATATTTAAAAAATATCTACAAATTCTTTTACTGAAACTTTGATAATTCTGCAAATATATAATCACAGGAAAAAATAAAACAGCTGCTTGGAAATATCGTTGTGTATGGGAATCGTCTGAATTCTATTCAAATTTTGATATAGAAATTCATTCAGCTAGAACTCGTACCCTACGATAGCGTATATATTATACAATAAATATTTTTGTCCAATGCATATACTGATGAAGCATCATTTTAAATATGAAAAACTAATGGAGACTACCAAGGAATTTTCTTAGGTTTAGGGTGAGGGTTTAAAATAATCATTTTGCACCTAGGGTGCTGGGTTCGAATCTCGTCTGAATTTTTTTTCTTCTTTATGCGAGAAAAAAGTCCCACTTGTGTGTTGGTAATCTATGACATACTTGGTTAACCAGTACACAACATTACGACTAGCTGATTTAATTAACACAACAAACACTTGTTTTTATTTTAGTGTAAGATAAAAATTCACAGTCATGCACTGCATGAACCTAACAATATCATTATTTAATATAGATTGTAGGTGCATTATTGCCTCAAATTCCTGCATTTGACATTATTATAATCACAGTGTAATTGAAATGTACCATATAGGTCCTCCAGTCTTGCTTGGCAGGCTGATTTTGGTAATTACAAACTCTACGGGTTCCAAACAGAAAAGAGACAGTGAGTACAATGTTAATATAATGCTTTATTATATGACCGTGAATCTTAGAGCCAGGACACTAGCAAATCGAGCAATCTGATTGGATAGATCGCATCGCGGACTGGTCTAGATTCTCTGCTATTAACCGGTCCGATCGCATATTAATCTTACGGCGAAAACATTTTGTCCTTTTCAATGAAAAGTGGTCATATAATAAAACTCTTATCAACTGAGCTTGGTCGGTCTGTACGGGATAATCTTGACCTTGGTCGGGTACAGACCTCCGTCAAGATTATCCCGTACAGACCTCTCGCTCAGTTAATAAGATCTATTATGACTGTATACACTCTACTGCAAAATCAATGTTGGGTTTAAAAAACAGAACATAGAAGCTGGCTTAGATAAATGCACTGACAGAAAGCATGCTGGCTTTTAACATGGGAAGCATGGGTGGTGTAGCAGTGAGAGCGCTTGCATCTCACCAATGCGACCTGGGTTCAAGTCCTGCTGGTCTCAGTGTCGTATGTGAGTTGAGTTGCTTGTTGATTCTCTCCTGTGCTTCAAAGGTTTTCCAGGTGCTCTGATTTTGTGCTCTGGAAGAAGAGCCATACTGTGGAATCCACTTTTAATCCCATAATAATAATAA